ATATATATATATATATATATATATATATATATTGCAATGTACAATATACATTGCAAAATGTATATTTTACATTTTGCAATTCTCATGAAGTTCTTTGTTTATGTATGTTTTCAACTGTTCAAAGACTAAAATAATACACACATTTAGTATTTAAGTCAGCACAACTAATGTGCCATTAATTTCAGAAATAAATCAAATTTGTTTTTTGTAAATCAACGATTCATTATCTTCTGAGTGTAAAGAGTCACAAAAGTGTTTTGGGTCTAATTAAAATCTTCTACTCTTAGTCTGGCAACACAAGTCTGCATGTTTTTCTTCCCCCCCCCACCCTGTCTTGTTTATTAATTTGACATGGATTTCAACATGTCTTATTGGGTTCCTCTTTTTCCTCCAAAGGTAACCCTGGTTACTGTGGATGAACATTTTGAAATCGATTCTATTTATGTTACAGTGTATTAACTTCTGAATCTAAATAAAATAATCAAAAGCATGTAATCCATCGTTCTGGCAATTATTAAATAAAATGACTTTTAATCTCAACTGACCTAAAACAATGAAAGTATAAGCTGATTTAATGTTTTACAGGACAATTAAAAGTGTTTTTTTAAGGGTATGTAAATCTGTTTACAATATCTGGTTGTAATCGTATTCAGCCTGCTTTGCTTTCTAGGAAACCTTTTTTTTTTAATTTTCTTCTCTTGTACACAGTGTACTACAACAGTATTCAACCTGCTTTCCAGGAAACTTTTTTTTTTTTTTTAACTTTTTTAAGTACTTGCAGTTTTGATTCCAGATTAGTGAGGGGCGCTGATGAGCTTGTTGTTGATTAGAACAGCCTCAGAAGAAACGTTCTAAAGCAGAGAAGAAGAAGAAAGATGCCGATGGGCCACGTCGGTTGAGGTAAGTAGGAAGTAGGCTTAGAGATAAAACCTCGGGAAAAATTGTATTCTTTAAAGACAGGGGGAGATTTGAAAGATGAACAGATGGAATTGCCGCTTCCAGCTTATTGTAAGTAATTTAACTGCGTGTTAAATGTAAAATCGTTCATTTCTGGTGTCAATGCGGGCTCAGTATGTGGCTCTTGACGGTTGTAAATGCATTATAAAGTGATGACAACGTGAATGTGAATGTACGTGTTGCTTGTGGTGTTTACAGGTCGGTAAATAGTTATAACATTGCTATGCATCCTTTTCTCCTGTGATACAGGAGGAGAGTGGAGCCGGTGGCCTGATGCCAGCCATCAGCCAGGCTAAAAAAGATGCTACAACAGATGCTAATTTAACACGCTGACCCGCTGGTGGCAGAGGTGAGGAGGGGGGAGCATGCACGTGGTGCTGGGATGATGAGGAGAGTCGATTTATGTCCCATCTCTAAGTGAAACCAGCTTGTAAACAGTATCCGCAGGTTTGGTTTTTAATAATCAGCATTTCTACTGTTAAACTTTAAAAATGTTACGAACAGAAAAATGAAGCAGTAGTAAAACTCGGTTTGCCTGCTACATTGTCATGTTTAATACCACAAAGAGGAGAAAGCGTTTGTGAAAAACATGGACTGTGTTGTATTCTATGATCTACTTTAGGTTTAATTTTCTTCAACAAATATAGCTGGTGTTGGTTGGTTGGTTGCACGCCACAATTTAGGAGCCAGCACATACACACACATACTTTCCCAATACTGCCCTCGTGTGGCAGCAGTAAGAAACACGGTGGAGGAGCGTCACAAAACGCATTTTAAAGCCCTTGTTTTTACTGGCTTTTCCACTGAGTATTTGTGCCTGCAGAACTTACAATAATTTTGTTTATTTATATACTGCCACTTGACAACAGATGCCACGTCAAGGCAATTCATAATGAATCATATCGAATCCACAGAGTCCAAATTCATGTCAAATCAGTCTGATTTATTCCATTATAAAACAATCATAATCAGAAAATATTGGGTGTGAACAATATGGCATCACTATATCACTATTTATCTAAAGTTGTGCAATGGTTTTCTAAACTGCTAAGTTGGCTGTTAAGATATATTTTTTATTTTTTTTAAAGGATATCCTAACATCCACACACCAAGCATGCTTTGAGTGCTTTAGTTCTTTAACCTTGTTGAATTATCACCACAGAACATGTTACTAGCCATAATGTGTTTAAAACCACATGCATATAGCATGTTTCTGGATGCATGGCTGAATTCTGTGTTACTTTGCATGTAGTAAATACAGTCAGACACCATGCTAAATTACTGCTCTCACAAACTGACACAACAAGATCAGAGTGGTCGTAATGTCCCTCGTTCTTGCGTCAGAGTGACAACATGTTGAAAACCTTGGATTAAAATCTCTGTTTGTTTACTGATGGTGAGGCTTGCCTTACAGTCTGCTCTGCTTTTCATTCGTCAGAGTCCTGCAGCACGTGATTGAGCTGTTACTACACCTGATGGCTGCTCTCTAACTGACCTGACCTTCTCGCAGGACGGTATGTTTTACTCTCACCGTTAACGGTCGCACACGTTACGTGATTGTTGGGATCAGTGGGAAGGAAAGGTGACCCGTGGCATGGCTGAATTCTGCTCCAGCTGGTTCTCCGTACTGGACACAGTCAGACACCATGCAACAGCCTCGTCTCATTTCTGCCAAAAACAAAATCACCTGGGCAGCTGCTTTCCTCAGCTTTGTCTGGCTACACAGGAATGAGTACAGTGATCTACTTGATATCATTGATAGGTTTTTTTTTTAGAAATTAATGTTCCTGCCGTATTTTCCAGCAGAGCGCCCAGTTTCCAAACGGGAAGAGACTCGACGTTTTCATCTGTGGTAACTACACTTCACTGAAATGCTTTTTCCCTCTTTTTTTTTTGACAATCACAAAGCAATTGTCTGTGGCATTATTATTATTTTTATTTTTTTTTTACACCGTTTAAAAACTACATGAAACATCTTGTTTCATGTAACACAATCACTTTTCACACCTGGACACAGCCAGACCGCACATGAAGCTAAAAACAGGCGCAGCAGGGCCACCCCTGGACAGGAATGAGGAAGGCCTTGTGCCAGAAACAAGCCCTCTGTGACCTGTGGTGCTTTCTGTGACCCCTTCTCCCCCACTCCTTCATAATAAACCTGTCACTGTGCTGAAACCAACTCTGTGTGTGCTGCATTTGTGTAGGTGGGAACAAAGCGCTCCGGGAGAGATGCATAAAACACATCCAAAATACCTTCACCTCAAAGACACAACCTTCAAATACATGAAAGATTTAATAAATATGTTTATATTATGCAAATTAAAGTACTCTCTTATTAGAGCAATTGTCATTATATAATCTTTTTAGCCTGTCCACTCTCAAATATACAAGTTCACTGAAATTTCAGCCATCCAGACTTGAGACATTTTGCGGAAAAAAACAAAATTTTAAACTAAAATCTACATACCGATCTTACAGTAAGTGAATAAATAGTCTGACAAAAGATGAAGACTTGACTCGGCGCCTTGGAGGCTACGCTCCCCTAAATTAAGAACTTATTACTTTCCAGAACTTTCTCTGCTTCTTCAAAACAGAAATCCAAAAGCCTCTCTTGCATAGAAAGTTTTTTTAAGCACGTCCTCCAAACTTTAACATTCAAAGAACACCCGAGTCGGGCTGTTTCTCAGTTTACCAGTTCGGTTTCTGGAGTAGAAGTGACTCCCAGTCCTGTGGCCACTTTACCAGCCGTGTTGGCCCTGCTCATCCGCCTCGGCGGCTAGGGACAGCAGGACAATCTTTGGAGAGTTCTCGAAAAGTGCAGCTCTGTTCTGAGTTTGGCCCTTCTTGACCCAGTGGCCGTAGATCTTGAAGGCGCATGCGTCGATGAGTTTGCGGATGGGCTTGACGGCGTACGGGTCGCTCTTTATCACCTCCTTGGTGACGGGTTTGGCACGGCGGTAGTGGCAGTAGATGCGCATCGTGGCGAGCACGGTCATGCAGATGACCTGATGGAGAAACGTAACCATTCATAACAACGGAGTGGTAGTTTCGTCTTAAATCGTGATCCAAATTGACTGTTTCTCTTTTGTATTTTGTCATTAATAAGTAAATGATAGGTGTTTAATGAAGATTCAGATGTTAATTCATAATGTAATGAGTTGAAGTGGAGTAGTTTCTTTTCTCTTTTCAGCCACTCCAACATTATACAGTAAATAAGACCAAAGCATGTCAGTATAGGCCAGAATTGTTTCTAAGATTATAGTAGGAAAATAAAATTAAAAGGTAACAACTGGCCACCACTATAGTGTAGAAGCTCAATAACAAAGGTACCTTACCATCGGTAAATGTACGTGAAGGAAAATGTAGAGACCCGTCTTAAGTTGGTCAGTGAACATCAAAAATGATTCAGTGGTTTGAGAGAAAAATCTGATCTGTTCAACCCAAAATTAAACTCTTTGGGATAAATTCACCCAGTATTTGGAAGAAAATTAGAGTATGATGTGAAGGATGACATTTAAAAATCCAACTGCAGCATTAGATGTCAATTATTCTTGGTGACCGTTTTCTTATAAATCACAATCACAGTTAGATTTTCACAGTCTAACTGCTTGGAGGGGCTCTCAACCAGAACCCAGGAAATGGGTCTTTAAGCTCAACAAAGACCCAGAAGTATCATCAGTGTAATAAAGGAGCGACCAAAGACGGCTCATTGGAGACCGAGTGTCTCCACGTCTCTGTCGTACAGAAAATCTGGGCTGAAACTTCAAGATGCCAAGCAACAGCCAAGAAACCCAAAGAATTTAGAGTGCTTCTGTAAAAATAGCCACAAGAAAGATCTCACCTCTGTGCTTTCCAGAAAAGAAAGCAGTAGTAAACAGGGGGATTTACTACTTATTTAACTGTGATGTGCAAATCAATCTTTGTACAGTATGAATTGGAAATATTGTGGGTATTTTGATCATTTTTTTCTCTACACTTTCAAATGAAAAAAATTAAGTCTGTTGATTTTATTGTTGGTGCGATTTACACCCCTAGGGATGTAAGAATCTGAGAGAAAAAAAAAGATTAAAATTCAGTTAATAAAGTGTATAACTGATGGGAACAGACTTGGCCACAGTCTAGGAGATCGTTCAGACCAAAAACAAATCTCAAAAATCTTTCAGTCCAGTGAAATAATTTTTGTTAAGGAAACCGTTACCTCAGCATCTGCTTCATTTTTAATCTGTGGATGAAATCTCTCGAATCAGGCAAACTCTTCAAATGCTAGCAAACTATTTTGATTCCATTTGTCTTGAAATCTGACGTTTCCTTACCTTGAAGCGCCTGTATGGACTGAACTGTCGCACCTCGTTCACCACGTACTGGGAGAAAAACGTGTGGTTCAGAACATCTGACGCAGTGAACCGCTGCCTCGGATCCACCACCAACATCCGGGAGATCTGAGTAAATGGCACGACGCCACTTTTAGATTTCTAAAAGCTTATTGCAGGCAAAGACAAGCAAAACAAACCTACCAGATCTTTGACTGTGTCAGAGCGATCCTCCCACTCTGGAGATGAGAAGTCGTAGCTCCCTGCTAAAATCATCCGCAGCATCAGCATCTGTTTTCTGTGCCAGAATGGTGGCGAGCCGGCCAGCAGCGTGTACATGATCACACCAGCGCTCCATCTGTAAACACAAACACCAACAGCAGGCAAATCTGTGACCTGGTTAAGCAGAAACTATGTTATCAACCATCTAACCGAAGCTTCAATAATAGCAGCATCAACAGAACAGCTCATGTGAGACGGACGTGGTTTCGTCTCTGGTCACTCACATGTCAACAGCTGTACTGTATCCTTGGTGACCTGCATCCATGGAGCACTCGATGATCTCAGGAGCCAGGTAACCAGGCGTCCCACACACTTCTGCAGGAAACACACAGTCAAACAGACGGAAACTTTTAAAAACTGAGCACACTTCTTTCTGCTTTTTGAACATACTGCACTCTGCATCCACAAGTTTGTGTGCTGGTGAACAGGAATGTTGAATGTTTAATCAAAGAAACATCCTTGTTTCAGAGCTAGATAGAAAATTAACTGAATAATATCTACTGTAGGAATTGAAGTGCAGTTGAAATCAGATACATTGTATAAGGACATGACCTTGTTCACCCCCAAGTCGACTTAAACCTTTCCTCTTCAAACCATTTAGTGTTAATTTTATTCCCTAAATGTGGAAATTAGATTTGTTTAAACTTTTTCTTACAGCCACTCATTTAAATATATATTTTTTTAATTTAAACTGTATTATTTGGCCCGTTGCTGCTGGTTTTACTGAATCAGTTTTACACATTGCTTTGCTCAAACACACTTTCTCAGCCTGCAAACATTTTTTTTTCCATTTGTATAACCTCATAATATGAAACTTTCATACTTCAAAAATGATTTTTCGTGCTTTATGTTTTCTATTTTGGTGAAGTGCACCAGTATGTGTAATTATCCCTTTGCAAAAGTAAATTATAAAATATCTGAATCTCTTTTGGGTGAAAAAAAAATCCAAACCCAGAATGTGGTAGATACATTTAATAAAAGGAAACTCTCTTTCACCTATTTAATGGATGTGGATAATTACTGAAATTTCTCTAATTTTTTTTAATATAAATTTATATTATAATGAGAAGACTGATATATTTCGGCACATGTACTGTTCATCAACAGTCTTATAAGCCTGATATTTACGGACTTTAAATGAGGGTGCTACATGTCAGGTAAAACTTTACTTCCTGTTATGATTGTAAATGTTAATAAACAATAAATGTGACTAATAGAAAAAAATCCTTTATAGGTAAATAAGCTCCCAATTATTAGTCATTACACTCTTGTCTCAGCATTATTAACATTTTCATAATTGTATGATCAGTGATGACTGATAAATAATAGTGCTATCCTTTGAGTTATAAATACCAGCATTCAATATGGAAGTACAGTAAAAGAGTCGGGGTGTTTAGTGGGTGGTAGAGAACTTCTGCCGAGCCTCTAAACAGATTTGTTTTTTCAGTTCACCGCTTGCATTATTTTTATATCTTTAGCACACACAAAAAAGAATCTGCTTTACAAATGTATAGAAAAATATCAATAGTTTTTTTTTTTTTTACATTGTTGGATTTGAGAATGTGCCAGAAGTCAAAGTCAGGTTTAAGTATTGAGATTTTTCAGAGCGTGTTTTAGAGATATCCACACTGAGATGACAGCTCTCCCCCGGCAGACGTACAGTTCATCAGAAACTTTCCTTGCCAGCTACTACTGCTAATGATCTTAAGCTTTCTGAGAAGTCTATTTAGAAAGCTCAGCGTACTGCGACCCTCTGTGGCGGTACGCGGTGTCCTGTGCTGTTCATAGCAGGAAGCACACTTTGCAACCAGATCCAGATTTACGCCCCCCAGCAACCAACTGCTGCTGTAATGACCAGCACACTCTGCAGGCAGCAAAGACCGCAAGAGCAGGAAGTGACACTGTAGCTATTGTTGAACTTTGAGTCAAAGCTTGGAGTTGTCATTATGTCTGTTTGTAAGGATTTATGTACCTTATTTTTCAGACTAAGCCACTACTTTTTTCCCACGCTTTGAACCAAGAGGCTTGTAGCCCGGTGCGGCTTTTCTGTGAATTTTTCTTCAGCCGCCAGGGGGCTCTTTAGCAGGAAGTGAATCATTGGAAGTCAAAATTGGAAATCAAAGACGAAAGCGCTAATTTTCATTTAGAACAAGCACAGCAGGCACGATGGAGAAATTTATTCAAACTCATATGATGCAGCTTTTAAGTTGAATGTTATCAGATTGATAGCCGCTACACGTAAGCTCGGCGTGAATAAATCCATGGTTCGACATTGGAGACGGAGGACTGCGTCCTTAGCAGATTTATTAAGGACGCAGCCCTCTGCTGTGTCCTTGAGAGCGGCGGAGATATCAGCGGCTTATAGCCCGGTGCGGCTTATATATGTACGTTTCCAGGTTTTTTTAAAAAATTTTTTATTGTAGGCGCTGCTTATAGTTAGGTGCGCTCTATAGTCCGGAAAATACGGTAAACTTTGATGAGATGTCTGCCGTGTTTAAATTGGTCACTATGGAAACTGTTCCCTCACCTTTCAGTGTCTGTCCTGGCTGGATCTGCACAGCAAAGCCAAAATCTGTGAGTTTGATGTTCATATTGTCGTCCAGCAGGATGTTCTCAGGTTTAAGGTCCCGATGAACAATGTTCTGGCTGTGAAGGAACTGGAGCACCTCCAGCAAAGCACGCATAATCTTTCTAAAAGGAGTAACACGTTAAATTGTAAAATGTCTTTAAAAATATTACACTACCTAAGAAAACTTGCTTTCTGACCTGGCTTCTTTCTCTGTCAAAGTTACTTTCTCTGTGAGGTAGTCAAAAAGTTCCCCTTTCTTCATCCTGAGGGAAAGAAACAAGACATTAGAGAAGCTGCAGGATATTTGATGTGTTATATCTGTCAGTCCTGACACTTACAGATCAAAAACCAGGAAAAAGAAGGCTTTGGACTCGTAGCAATCTTTCAGCTGTACTGGAGAGGAGAATTCAGTTCATCAGTGGATCAGCTAAATATCTAAGCATCATCGGACAAAGGTAAAAAAAAAAAAAAAAATTCCAGTTAAACTGAGAATAGAGAAAATGCTTACTGATGTTTTCCTGCCCGCAAACTTTCCTAAGAATGTCGATCTCCTTGACCGTCGCTTCTCGGATCTCCTGGATCTCCTGCGGAGTCATTTTGTCAGACGGGGTGATGTCTATGATCTTCACAGCGTATTCCTGATCTGTGCGCTTGTCCACACAGCGACGGACCACGCTGCTTACTCCCCTGTCCAATGAAGAGAGGAAAACATCAGCTTGTGTGGGATCTTGATTAATATCCGAGTAGAAACTTTACATGTCTGTTCACTTTAGTTGGAACTTCAGTTTCATATGATAATTTATGCTTTTATCTGCCTTTTAGCATTCATTTGCACACACACAAATGAATTAAAACTTCTGTTACTGTATTCTGATGAAATTGATTTTTTTTTTTTAAAGGTTCAGTCTCAGAGTTCAACCTGCTGAAACTAACCCGCCTCCCTGACTGAGGCTCTGACTGTCAATGAACAGAATGTCCTCACTTCCAGCGACCTGCTGACCTCTATGTGAGAAATGCATTGAAGTTATGTAATGACTCAGCATGACTGCCGTTACCAAAACCCTCTTAGAGATGTAAGCTTTGTCCACAACATGTTGAAGTTAATGAATGCTGCCTCCTGCACACTGAGCCTTACGTAACATCTGACAGGCGGCGGGAATGACAATGAGCAAGCTCTGGGTTTTGTGGCAGTTCACTAAAAACTCATGGGACGCACGTCACATGTAGTCAACTGACAACCACAAACTTTAAAAGTGTGAAGGAAATGAAAACAAAGGGATCCATGGATGTTTTACAAATAAAAACCGGAGAAGAGGGGTGTGCATGCAATGATCTAAAAAAACAAAACAAAAAAAAAAACTATTCACACCCTGAGAAATTTTCTACATTCTTGTGTTTTTGCTTTTTTTTTTTTTTAGTACTCAAACAAATTAGACAGTCAAACACAGATAAAGTAAAAACAAAATACAGTTTTCAAATTATGCTTTAAGTTATTAGATCCAAACTGACCTTTTTCTAAAATATAATTTACCTTCTTATTAAATTATTATAAAACTTTGATCAATAGTAAGTAGTAGTAGTAATGCCATTGTTGAGCTGAGCCTTTTTGCTGTATAAGCCCTACATTTTGAAATCTGAAGGCTTCAGATCATGGATTTCAAACTCTATCCATCGATGACTGTTGTCCTCCGTCTGTTACATGCATCATTACCTGTCCTGCAGATCTGATTAAAATGACTGAATAACGTCTACAACTTGCACTCGAGTTTGATGGAGTCCAACTAATGACCTACGTTTTTGACTGAGGTGTGTTGAAGCAGAGACAAATAAAAGTCGTAGGACATCAGCTCCCAAGGACTGGAGATCCTTGGTTTAGTTCAAAGCATATCTATATGGACTGACATTGACAAAGTCTAGCCTTAAATCTGACTCGGTCTGTTGAGAACCTACATTTGTAACCCTGTATTTCAATTAGGCGATGCTTTCTGTTCATTTATCACATTAAATCTTAATACATATATGTATTGCCAACTATACTTTACTGCTAAAAAATCCTAGCTCCTGAGAAGAGTAGGATAAATGTTTACAGGCAAACCGTGTGCTTGCAGCAACCCAAATAAGGATGCAAAAGACAATTTCACCGTATGAGTAACAGACAAAGTCTCTGAAGGGCAGAAGATGTTTGGACCTTCAGCAGTTCTTGCTCACATACCTGCCCAGAATCTCCTTGGGGTCGTACTTGTCGTAGAACTCCTTCGCTCCCACCCAGTCTGGGATCTCCTCCTCTTTGGTCATGGTTCACTTCCAAATGTGTGCACAGCTGTTTTCCTCTTATAGCTCACAGCACACTGCAGGAAATGCACATGCTCAAAACAACACTGGCACAACACAGGGGGTTCTCAAGTTGCTCTGAGTGTCAACTTTTAATGAGTAATTCCTAGGGCTGGACAATAAATCATGAACATGTATAGTGACAGGGAGGAAGGCAAAGGAAGTGCTTTAGTTTCTAAGCCTTAGTAAGGTTGGTGGCATCAACTCACTCACTGTCTGGTTACTAAGCAACAACTTGTTGAGTAACGCACATAGTTGTGGCTTGGCTTTGCCCCCTTAACTGCTGCAGATCTGTACACCTTTCCTGTGGATAAAACAGGAAAGGTCACGCCACCAGTTTGGGAGTATTTCAGACATTTAAAACAAAAAACTAATTAATAATTACCTGTAAGACTGATATTGAACACTTATATAGTGATACGTTTTTCAGTCATATCGTCCAGCTCCAGCAACTCATTACTTCCTGTTTCTGTGATGGACTGACCATCTGTCCAGGGTGTCACCACCTCTCGCCCTTTAACATTAAGTAGGTATAATTATGACATGCATGGCCTGATTTTCTTAGCTACTCTTCTAAATAGGAAAGGATCGAGAACATTTCAATCAAGCCCAGAGACAGGATGCTAAAGAGGGACTTTGGAGGTCAACAAGTTTCCTTACCCACTAGATGCCATCTACATGCCAGGAAAACGATTTTTTTTTGTCCTACTCTCACTTATAAATGTAGGGAGTTTGCTAAACGAGGAAAGGATTTGCTCTAGAACTGCATACAGTAGTCGGATGATACCAAGGGTGAGTTAGTGCATCACAAACTGTTTAGTTTTTAAGGACATTTGAAATACAGATATGTTTCTTCCAGAAAACTGGGAATGGGTCATCATCGGTTGTTTAGAAGCAGGATACTTTGAACAAATAATCTACAGTCAAATGAACAAAAATGATTCACCAAAAAACATTTTTCCTCCCTGTCCTCAGATCTAAATCCTTTAGAAAGATGGAAGGTGAGCTGATAAAAACTTGGACTCAGGACTAGACAAGAGTGCCTGTAACCAGGAAATAGTCAAAGATCATTTTTAGTCATTAAAATTTTTGATGTCAGAAGTTTTGCCCTACAAAGTGAAATTTTTTGGCCCCCCTTTGAATAAAAGTACTCAAATTAAAAGCTGTTCTAGATTTTTCATTGTGTGATTACGTTTCTATTTAATATCAGATCCTTTTAGTATCTTCATTTACCCATCTCCAGTAAAGCCAAAGAAACGCTTTGCTTACTCACCGCGTCGTTCAGTTCTTTCAGCTGCTCCAGAGGTACTCCATGCTTGAACTGGACGTCCTTCCAAAAAGCATAAAATCAGCCACCAAGAAATCCAGTCAGACCCCAGTGCTGCGGAATAGCTGTAGGATTGCTGGTCCCATGTTATAAAGGTTGAGCTTTAATGTCAAATGCCAAAAATAAATGGGTTCTTCCGCAGCAGCAGCTCAGCACATGCACACAGTAGAGATCCCCAAACTCACACCCAGCAGCTTTTTCTCCCACAGCTGTGGACACTTTGAAACACTTCCATGTTCAGTTTGTGGTCTGCACTGAGATTAGAGTGACACGACAGGTGCTGCAGCCCTGAGGTATCCCTGCGTTGAAGCTCCTAAGTCTAATTGAAGAGTGTAACGGATAAGAATAGAAACATTTCAGCGTTGTGTAATGTAGTCTGACTGAGGAGGCAGTGAAATGAAACACAGCGACATTATCATCCAAGTGCTTTATTCGTTTTCTCCTCGTTACAACCAAACCATAAGGTGAGAACCAGGAGCTTTATTCTACATATCCGGTGTTATTTGAGATTTTATAATGAAAGCACTGCTAATGAAAAGCACTGTTAAAATTACACTCAACTCAAAACATGACACCAAAATATATAAACAGTATTTATAAGACTATTATTACAAACTCTGCAGCAGTGTTCTCACCACAAAATAATGTTGCCAGTCAATTATTTAAATAAAGCATGTTTAATGATTGATTTATTGATCCCTTGTAGATTACACCCCGCTAGAATCTGGTGAGCTGACGTGTGATTTCAACTCTGCAGGACTTTGTTTCCATCTCAAGAAAAACCTAAAGAGAAAAAGAAAAGTTCAATGAGAGGTTTGTTCTACTTTGTAGATAATAACAGGAAATATCCTTCTATACATCATAGGAAATAAAATAAGCATTTAGGAAACACTAAGAAAACCAGGAATGAGGCTTAAAAAGCCACACTACTCCCCCTAGTGGTTATATTGAGTAACAGCCTTTCATAATACTGCAGTCATCCCCAGTCCTATTTTACTCTCTCAATCTTCCTTCATTTTCTTATCCCCATCAGAAAAAAAAATAAAAGATGGATATATAAAGGAGGAAAATGTAACTGAGCTTTTATTTCAAAAATATATAACTTTGACACAGCTTACAATGGTAAGCTGTGTCAACTGCACAGAGTAAACTTCTAATTTGACAATTGTGCAACAAACTTTGCAGGTGTTCAGAGTTGTATTCAATCATTTTAATGAAAAGTTGAGTGGAAGGTAAGGGTTTGATTAAAAGTGGTGTTTTTGCGTAAAAGCACCAGGAACACCGGTAGCAGAGGTTTTTGAAGCAAAGCAGTTTGGAGGTCTCTCATGAGACAAGACGGGCTGAAGTCGGTTTAAGGCCCTTGAACCATCTTGCTCTACTGCCTTTCCGTTTAGCTGGGCCCATTGCTTGGACTGTGGACTGTGACTGGACTCAGAGCTTCAAGAGCCACCAGAAACATACGTATCCAGAACATGGACTACAACTGTTGCGTTCCTTGTTTAAAGTCACTTATAAACTACATCCAGTATCAGAAGCGCCTTATTTAGACTAGGATGTGTAGAAGGAAATAATAGAGCACCTCATGTTTCCCTCTGTCAACCTTTGTAGAGATGCTGATTTCTTTTTTTTCAGGAGCCCTTGAGATGTCTTCAAACTACTAAAAGTATCTGACCATTGGCTTTTGATTGGTCAACAACGTTGGAGTGACCTCAAACAGTCTTTGGAAAATTGTCAAGAGGAAGATGAGTGGCAACTAAAAGTTAATGCAGAAGAGCTGAAGGCCGCATAAAAGCAACCTGGGCTTCTTTGACACCTCAGCAGAACTGCAGGCTGATGTCCTCCATGCCACGCTGCATTGGTGCAGTAATTCATGCAAAAGGAGCCTAAACCAGTTTCAGCCCGTACATTAAATACACAATGTATTAAAATTAGATTTCTGAATCACATGTAGAAGGCTTGGATTTTATAGAAGAATCTAATTTTATTTTAAATATAATCTATAAAAGTATTTATCATTGAAATGTACTGGTAAGGAGATAAAACTTGAACTTGACAGTTTTTTTTTTAAATAGAATAAAAGAAAATTATAAAAGCTACCTGGCAAACAGATTCAGAAATAATCATAATTATTGTACACTTACCATTAGCAGACCTGCACTGTTTGAGTACCTCGCTGAATCCCTCACAGAGCTTCAGGTCACTCTGGTTCTGAGCACATTCCAGGAACTGCTTGAGTTCGTAGGAGCAGACCTCCTGCTGCTGCTGGCCTGCTTGCTGCTGGTACGGCTCCTATGGACAGAAACCACATGAAGATGTGCTGACAGATACACTGAATGTGTAGAAAGCAACATTTTGCATCTGCAGCTCCTTCCAGAGATACAATTCTTACAGTAGACTGTAAAACACAAGTCGGAAAAACTTAAGATGTTTATCATTACAAGCAATACTTCCAGGCTGCATTTCATATATTTTCCTGTTTCTGTTGTCAAATGTGCTTCTTTTATTTTATTTCTGTTCCTGCATTAAAATCGTGTTCACAGTTCAAGTATTATTTGCACTTGCGTATTTTAGCTCTTAAACATTTCTATACATAGAAATGCAGAGAAGTTTAACTCTGATGTATGCCAATAGGTGTGTTTTTGAACTCGACTTCTCGATTTGAAGTAAATCCACTGATTCCAGGTTAGACTCTTTAAAGAGGTTATTCTTGCTTACAGTACTGAATCTTTATCGTCTCTTCGCCGATCCAAACAAGAGCTTTAGCTGTCATGTACACTTTATCACCACTCTTTACTGGATCTGTGATTAAAGTCCTGCCAGCTGTCTGGTAAACAAAATAATCTTCTCTAACACAATCCTGGTCTCCCGGCAGGTTGCTCATCGGTTTACCTGGTACGTGACGTCAGGACTGGCAGCCTCAGAGCGTCCTCCGCTAAAGCCTCCGGTCATGGCATGGCCGATGGTGTGTCCCACGGCAGAGCCCACCGCCACACCGGCGGCTGTCGTAGCCATCTGTGCGAACAAACCCGGCTGTCTGGGCGCTGCAGCCGGAGCGCCCACTGCAGACGGAGCAGCCTGCATGGGGACTGGGGCGTGAGATGGCGCACTGGCCATTGGTGGAGGAGATGGAGGTGCCCGGCTGTGAAAAGCAAAGTTCAATTAACAAGAGGCCAAACTTAATAGTACAAAACTTTTTTTTTTCTAGCAGAGATAATGTTAAAAATTAAATCTGGATCACTGTGGACTAATAAACTAAAATTAAATATGGGGTTTAATAATGTAGGGGTTTGTTCATAAAGAGTTTTTCCCATTTGAAAAAAATTAAATGTACAAACTACACAACAGTCCAGCCTGGTGTTGTTTAAGGTCACTGACTTGGAGGTTTCTTCAGGTCGTGTTACGTAGCAGAACTGGTGAGACTAAACATCACTGTTTATTATGTTGATGTGCACTTATACATTTAAAAAAATATATTTTTTTAAAAATCCATCAGCTGTTGAGCTATTTTATAGTTTTCAAGTACCTATAAAAAAACAACAAAAAACTACTTGTAACCTTAACAATACGTTATATCAGATTAATATACAACCAGTATATTGGGTGAAATATCTGTGTAGCCTAATGTCTATATGCCTTTGTATTCTTTATAAATACAGAATGGTTTGCTGGTTTAAATGGAAATGTTCGCTGCTGTAAGACATTTTAGCGCAGAGTGACCTTCAGTCCTTTCAGTCGATGACGTCTGAAATAACTCGACTCTCTGGTTAAAACATCTAAATATCCAAATACAGTTTTATATCACTGACAGCAGTAAATCTCATTAAGTTTCCTGGCTCAGTTTCTGTCTGACACATGACACTGTTACCGTTGCCTCGGTGTTAGCATGTAGGCTAACTCGCGCCCCAAATTCATACGGTTTCAACAACTTCTAACAACATTAGATATATAGTATTACCTGGCTGGAGGGCTCATCCTGGCGGGCCGGCTTCTGCTTCCCCGTGGCATTTTCAATAACTAGGTTTGTTTCACTGTCACTGTCACTGAGAAAAGACTGGCGCAACTCTGAGCCGCAACGACACACGCTCGGTTTTATCTCGACCTTTAGTTAATCCGGAACTTTCCATGTGTTACATCAGCTATCCTCCGGGTAACTTCCGGTGCCTCAAAAAACAATTGTGTAACTCACAAATGATAAGTTAATGGTTTTAAACTATTTGTGTATCATTTTATACGTGTCATGAGAATCCTTTGACAAATCCGCAAATTTGAACACATTTTTTAAAGAGTTTTTTATTATTATTTTTATCTATAACGTGGGAACTTTGGTGCTTGGTCAGAAAATGTAACTAAATAGGGCAAAGAGAATTGAAGGTCAGGAGTAAAGGTGGACTGATATGGGTTGTTGAAGGATATTTCATAGCAGCCAGTCATCAATACTCCAGGTTGGATATTATTATTAAATAATCCTGTAAAATGGGAGCAATAATCACCACAGTTCCAATATTTTGGAAAAACAGAAATAGAAGCAGTTTCAAGACAGGTTAAAATAGTTCATGTGATGGAAACATGAGAACAATGAGTCACAGAAACAACAAAACAAATCTGTTTTCAAGTTTATTGTTAAACTCATCTCAAAATATGGAAAGCCAACAGATAATAAAATGGCTTATTTATCTCAAATTAAATAAATCTTACAGAAATATCTGGTCACAAACCAGAACATGTAGTAATTATACACTTTACAGTACTTCAGAAATGGTCTCAATGATGTATATACAAAGGAGTACAAATTATGAATAGTTTCATCATTTAAAAATTATATTACAAGCACCATCCTCTGACCCGTTTATATCCCACAAAAAAGAAAAACATACTATCAAATAACACCTAGAAAGAGCGCTACTCCTTTTTCCCTTTCTTTTTCCGGTACCTCTGTTGGTGTCCACCTCCTCTCCCTCCTCCTTTTCCTTCTGCTCTTCGTTCTCCCCATGTTGGCATAGGAGGTTCAATCTCCCCAGGCCGGCCTCCTCTGTCTGGGACGCTGCCCATTAACATCTAGGGAGAGCAACATCAGAGGTTAAAAAAATAAATAAAGATGGCTTCACCCATGAAAATATGTCCACAGCTCCACCTTGTAGACGGCAGTGCTCTTCCCAGCTTTTATTGGTTCAATGAAGGACTGATCTTCTCTGGCAGCCAGAAGGAGTGATGGAGACACTTGGGAGGATCCGGTGAGGGACACCAGAGACGGCACCGAGTCTAGAACAGCTCTGCGCTCCTGCAAGCAAAAAAACTACTAAACCAGGGAAGTTTATGTCTACGCAGCTCTAGTGAAGTCATTAACTAAAGCTAACATGTACTAGAGATGTTCAGTAGACAGTAATCCAGTAGTTTGTGACATTTGGAGCCCCTTCCCAGGATGAATTGGCATGTCAGGTCTTGATGTACCAACTTTAGCTCCAATTCAGGCCTTGTGTCTTTCCTCCACACTTTTAAATGGATTCAAATTTCTCTCAAGGCTGCAGTTACTAAACACACTTCTTCCTTCCACTTAGTTTTCCACTCATATGCGTATGCTTAGCACTCTAGACCAACAATGACTGTGGAGTTGCTAACATAGTCAGAATAGTTTTGTGTCCAAAATTGTTTTTTATTGGTCTCATGTGATGTTCAAATGTTCTGAGGAACTAAGTTTTGGCTTTTCACTGGCTGTGCACCACCATCATCAAGTTTATTAGAAACAAACACTTGACATACATCACCCTGTGTGTGATGAGTCAACAAAATACAAGAGGTTTCACTTTTTTAATTGAATTATTGAGATAAATTAACCTTCACTCACAAAACAAACTTTTAAAAATAATGTCATGAAGCTGTGACATTGTGCGTAAAAGTCAAAATGTGCTGGTTGTTATTCTGAACATATTACAGTCTAACACAGATGTAAGAAACTATGTTTCTAATTATGTAATCATCACTGACCTGTGTAAAAATATATCACTGTAAAGTACCTAAATTACTTTTCAAAAAATATAAAGGAATATTTAAAAGAAAACAGGAAATTTGACTGGCATTATTCATGTAAAAATATGAACAAACTTACTATTCAAACTAAAATTTAGTTTAATTTGTTGTCTCACACAGAAAATCTAAACTCTTAACCAAAAACTGAAGGATCCACTTTCATTTCAGCTGTTAATTCAGTTCGAGTTCATTTAAAGAAAGGATTTGCCACAATACCTTTTGTTTCTCACCCCATGCAAATGACTCGAGTGTGACCTGAAAGCGTTTAATCATCATCTGTTGCCGACACTGATAATCTACAGACAGAGTCTGATTGATCTTCTGCAGCTGCGTCTGAAAGGAACAAAAGAAAAATGTTTTAAATATTATCGATGCAAAGTTTTATACGACAGGCAAACTTCCATGTGAACTTACCCACTGCTCTGAGCTGAGGCTGGTTTTCAGAAGAGGGTTTGTCATGTCTCCATCTGGTAGACAGACAAGCCTCGACTTCACCTGAATTTAAAAAAACAATTCTTAAGCTCTGAGGACTTTTCAGTGCAGATAAAGTTTATTAATGTCCTGCAGTTGGGCTCACTTCATTCTCCACATCTTCAAATTGCGAAGAGGCATCTAAACCGAGCGCATGCAGCAGTGGAATCCACTCCGCCTGCATCTCTGCCTTCCTTTTCTCTGTGTCTGCAGCATCTCCGTCTTCGCATTCTTCACACAAGGATCCATCATCATAGCTGTAATGTTCAACTCGCTGCTCTTTCACGGGTGCTTCTTCTCTGGTCAAATTCTCTTTGGGATGCATCTCCTTCTCCTTGATTACATGAGCGGCTAGCAGCTCTGAGACAAGGAAGTCTGCAAATTCACAAAGTAAAAGGTGCGATTTCCAAATTGTTTAGAGAATATATCATCGTCCATAAGACAAAGCAGTTCCTCACCGGTGATCCTGTTGAGGGCAAACGGTTCCAGCACATCAGTCATAACAGCGAAGGGAGAGAACATGTTTGACATCAAATTTCTCAACTCTTCCACCAACAAGACGTCACCTGCTCCCCTCAGGTCTAAAAACAATAAACCAAGGTCAGTTTAACAAAGTGGTTGATTCTCCTGCTTCCACATTTGAACGTGTTTTTAAAATTATGTCTTCTAACATAAAGACTACTCTCTGATACGCTATTTTTTTCCCCAATCATTTTAGAGCTATACAATACTCGTTGTCGATCTACCACACAGTTTAAAAAAAAGTTAGCTTTTTCTTACCCGATTTTAAACCTTTGCCAACAATAGGAAATGTTATGTTAGTAATTATGATTTAACTATGAGCTGAACACTAAGTGGCCGCACGGAGGAGCTGTGTCCTCACCTGTTAGCTCCGGACACAGAGTCCTGAGCTCCGCGGACAGCCAGTTGAGCAGCGGACAGGGGAGCTCATCACACCCGCACCGCAGGAGGCAGCGGCCTCCTCTAGGGTACCTGAGCAGGAAGTGAAGACGACAGGTGAACCTCAGGGCAGACAGCCAACACGTTTCACCAAGCACCGTCAATTCCCGAGTCAGTAAACTTTAAGGTTAACTGAGAAATATGAAGCCA